CTGCATACCACGCCCGGTAGAGAATGAATTCCCCCCCCCCCCTCTCTCTCTCTCTCTCTCTCTCTCCCTTCCTCTCTCTCTCTCTCTCTCTCTCTCTCCTCTCATCTCGCTCTCTTCCCTCTCTTTCTCTCTCTGACATCTACTGTTCTGCTTTTGTGAAAGAATTCCTACTGTCTTCCATATTATTTCAATTTGAAATTCAAGCAGAAATGCAGACAAACAAATTAAAAAAACAATTAGGAAAAAAGAGAGAAGGTAGAAGGTTTGAGAAACACGTCGCAAATACTTCCGATAAATCAAACTAAGGCAGTTTCAATAGCCTTGCCCATGTTCATCAAAATGTGCGAACATTGCAATCACATTCATAATTATGGCCTCATCTGAACGTGATTTTTTGGCCTATGGGATGTTAAATAGGGTTTTAACATTGCCCACGAGCTGATTTCTTTAAAGTCTTTGCTATTGCGCTTAGAAACATTGTATTAAGCGCTTTATAAATGTAATGTATTTTTATTATTTTTATTATTATTGTGTTCGGAAAATCGGTCTAAATTCAAAAGAGTTATATTGGACCTTTAATGACGTGACAAACAATGACATTTATTCTTTCCAAAAAGATGTATATAATGACAATACTTCAATATTATGAAAAATAGTTTCTCCTTTGTTTAACTTCATTAAAGGTTCTGCTAGTGTGCATGCAGTATGTGGTATATAACCTTGGTGAAGGCAGGATGAGGAATTTAATTTTTTAAGGGAAAGGGAAGTGAATTTCGTTGAAAATGTTCAGTTAATCAATGGTGAGAGATTGCCATTAAAACTCAAAATCAAGTTCCCGCATATACATGTATAGTGATGTCCATAACTTTCCATAATTTTTTCATTTCATTAAGAAAAAGTCCACAACTTTCCTACAAGTTGTTTAATTAATGAATTTTCCTCAAACCCTTCGTTTGTCTGCAATACGTACCGCCATCCGGAGGGATGGTGCTCCTGTACTAGAAATGAAATTCAACAAATTCCTTTGCTTTTACATGTATATGTCCTATTCATGATGTTTTCTTTTCTTTTCTTTTCTTTTGGTTTCATGATAAAATTCGGTTTGAAACTCTACAAATCCCGAATTAAATGGGTTGAGATGAGATAACTTCAGGCGCGTACACAGGGGGTTGGGGGTTGGGGGTTGACCCCCCCTTTGGTATTTTTTAAAATTGTGTTTATATTTTTTTAATTATAAAAAAAAAAAAAAAAAAAAAAATTGCCCATGGCTGACCTTTAAAAGGTGACCTTACCCCCCCCCAACGGAAAATTTCCAAATTTCGAGACCCCCCCCCCCAAAAAAAAAAAAAAAAAAAAAGTGTCATCTCGACAGTTTGAAATTTTTTCGTAAACTGGTATAATGTTAAACAAAATTTAGAAAGGCACGATGGTTTACTAAGTTCATATTTTATGCATACTTTTTAAACAAAGGTTTTCCTTGACTACCTGAAAGCTTGCCCGACATAGCAACACACAATTGCAGTTCATTCATTAATAACATGTTAATGAAATAACTCGTCACTAGGTTCCACGGAAAGAAACATCCGTAAATTGAATGATTGTGTTAGTAAACATGTTTATTGCTATCGTTTTAGGGGGAACCCCCGCCCACTCCTTTCAGAATTATCACAACTTCATCTCGCTAAAATATAAGTCAGTGGTATCATATGACATCTATATGGGGAAAGGCAAACATGTGTCACAAAATAATTTGCTGATATTGACGGGACCCCATGTTGGGAATACAATAGCAAAAGAACATAAATCGTCATCAAGCGATTACGAATGTTTTTGTTTGGTAAACTTTGACATTCTAGACGCCATCAAATGTCTTCTGTCATAGTGAGTCATGAAAACGAAGACATGATGTGAATCAGACGTCTGGAAGATTGTAGGTTACCTGTAACCATGGTTACACACACGCTTTATCATGTGGGATGGGACAGCATGGCGGTATTGTTGTATGGTATCCTTATAAACATGCGGTCAGATATGTTTTAGTTAGTAGAACGCTACATGCTCGTATGACTGCATGAGTAGTCATTCCGACATCACATTAAAAAGTACAGATGATAATCATAGATTCTTAATATCGTTTTTTTCCCATTATTTTCGATAAGACCATTCATGCAAACTATGGGTTTATAAGTATAATAATAATCTGCACTCTTTCAAAGTGAACGCGCCACAAATTAATTTTATATTGGGGGAAAATACCTTGAAAATAATTAGATACAATGAAAATAATTAAATATAGTTAAAAACACACGAAACTTGCGAGTGTTTTTAATGTATTATATTGTGCCCTCTCGTGCATATCTCCTTTCTAATGCGCATTTATCCTTCCTCATCTTCTTCTCTTCTCAACCCCTCATGCAGCTCATTCTTATGTATTATTTTCTGTACCCCCAATCTCTCACTTCTTTTTTTGCATCGTCTACTTTTTGTATTGTGACCGTGTTCTCCTATCTTTGTCATGCCTTGTAAAGTACTCTCTTGTCCCGTTCTCGTCTCTGTGGCACCCCCTTTTCCCCCTATTTCTAGTTCTATTTTGTAGTTACGAATTTGTTAATTTAGTTACTCAATATTCCTAACTATTTTGAGGCCGGGTCCACAATATATAAGCAGTGCTTTTTAGTGGACCCCTCTGTTTCCAATATGCATTCCTTAATAATGTTGTAAATGATTATGATTGATTTGTAATGTTTTGTTGGAAACAGAAATAAATTGAGTTGAATATATAATATCCATACATTTGCACTGGCGTGTGGGGAAGGGGAGGGGGCACGCGTCTTTGGAGTCTTTGTTTTGTTTAATAGGTGATTGTTTATCAGTCTATTTTGTTTGTTATAGCGCTTAGAGACTTCGGTGGTAAGCGCTTTATAAGTAACGTTTTTATTATTATTTATTATTAATACTGTTGAATGTGATTTCACAATTTATTGAAAAACGGAAGTGCGAAATATGACCCTTGTTAAGTTGTTAGAATTTTAGTTTGTTACTACTACTGTCCTCTTCAAACTCAATCCCACCACCACCCCTATCACCACCACTGACAACAAATTCAACGCCTTTGTCATGCCTTTAATTTCGCCTCCTTTAATCTTTTTATGCATCGGTTGACCACAAAGAATGCGTCCGAATAAAACCGATTATGTCTTTGATCCAATTTGTATGAAAGAGATCAGTAAGCGTTAATGCTGCTGGTTCATAAGTGTAAAAAATAAGGATTTATTCTAAATAACTTAGCAATTTCAGTTCTTTTACTAACCCTTCAAAACAAACAAAAAAACGAGAACAAACACGAAATACATCTTATTTGGAAGAGGAAAGTCATGAAAATAGGAGAGGGGAAGTGGGCACTTCATGCATTACATGAATATCCAATCTAACTTTAACAATTAGAAATGATTAGTTGCTCTCATATTAAATGAGATTCAGGCTATCATGGTTTCAAATTTATTTTCACTTTCTCATATTACATATACATGTATGATAAATCATAAGCAAAACAAAGTTGTACATTACCGAAATCGGTACAATTATTAAATGATGTGCATACTTCTTTAGTAAACATTATACATTGCATCAGTATAAAGAATTGTAGATAATATAATCATTCTTATTAACATCATAATTTGAGAAAAAGCGGAGGAACCTATAAAAGAAGCAGAGCTTGTGAGGCTATACATTTATGTTCCCTTTTAGGAAGAAAAAAAAATTGTATTCAAGAATGAATAAAGGGAAAAAAATAACGAGTTAGTGCAAGGATGGAGAGCGAAAAGGAAAGAGAATATTATGATAGACAAGGAAGAAGAAGGAGACAAAACGAGTTATGAAAGACCAACTCGATAAAGGTAACATTAGTTTCCAGTTCAACAGTTCGCGGCTACATCGAAGGCAAGGATCCAACTTACCTGTGGTATTAAATAATGATCAGATACCGGATTTTTTTTTCGTCAGATAGTATTGTCTGACGCAAAACCTGAAGGAATTGTCAACAGGGCAGGTTGTGTTATTGTGCAACTGTCATGAATGTGTAATAGGGTCTACGTGCATCACAATCACAGGTTATAGATTAAAAGTTGAGCTTAAGGTTAAGGTTAAGTTCTATTAAGGTTAAGACTTAAGTTGAGCCGTGGTCCCGGATGCGATAATCGATGTAATGCTAAGCCCTAGCTGTATTTATGGGTGCATTCCAGACCAGCTTGGTCACCAGTGACCGCATCAGCCACAAAGCCCAACGAAGCCAGAGGAATATCCTCCATTCCTCTGGTGACTAACGCCGTCTACTACGTTTCTGTCTATAACGGGATATGTGACGGAGGGAGCCTGTTGGGAAAGAGAAAGTAGGAATAGAGAGAGAGGAGGATGAGAGAGAGAGAGAGATACGTGAATTTGTTTTCATAACTATATGAGTGACAAAATTATGCTATAATCGCAACGCGAAAGCAAATTAATGAAATTAAGTCTAAAGAATCTGGTCATAATAATTGTCTACATCAGTTTCATTGAGGTAAGTCCTTCCCTTGTTTTCATTGGATCAAAGTTTTAGGGATAGATTATATAATTTCATAACTGGGTACTTTGAAATGTCGCTCAAAGTTTCAAACTGACTGACAGGTCTGAGGGAAATATCACGAGGAAGGAGCTAGGAGTACAAACAAATCGAGGAATCTCTTTTTTTGCGGAAGGCGTAGACAGATCTATGTGTTCTGAAAATCACCTATTTGAGACATTGACCGTCTAGACACTTAGTCAAAAGTAAGACAAATTTTAAAAATAATGAAGATACCATTTTTACTTCCGAATTGCCATATCTACAAACTGTCATTGGTTTCCAACGGCGCGGCGGTGCGCCGTGCGTGGGTGTACTTGATAAACTTTTGTAGACAACACAAAAACATTCATAAGTGGAGAGTCACTCGAGTTGAACAGTGGAGAGTCACTCGAGTCCGTCCGTGCGCTTTCAGAGAAATCTATGCACGCTGCACACCAAAAGAGATACTAACAATAACATCATGAAAAGGGTATTCAAGGCACAGTAGCTTCAATTGTGGATTAGTAGGCTTCGATGTGTTGTAAAAGATATATACCACTAGCCACTCACTGAACGTTTGAGAGCGGTTTGGTTAAATTACAGACTACATGCACGTTCGATCGGTACGGTTTCTTTAAGGTCGTCTGTTCCCGCGTCTATTCTTCTAAGGTTTCATGTAAGGAGGATAAAATATTGTTTGCAGCGAGCCTATGCCACCGATCCTCCCCTCGATGGAAGGCGAGATCGAGAACAAGGTCTCGTTCGCTAACACGGATGATGTGATCCCGCCAGCAGAGAACTACGATGCCGTCGACCGATACGTCTTCGGCAGTCTTCGTCGCTCGGTCCGTCTGACCTCGTCGTCGCGCATCCGAAAGCCTTCGTCGGTGGCCAACTCAAGCCAAGGAGCAGCGAGTGATATCGAGGAGGAAGACGAAGACGAACTGACTGAGGATGATGAAACTTTCAACGAGAGTGCCGCCATCGCAAAGCACATCGAAGAGAATGTAGTAGGCAATGAAACGATATTCGAAGGACCATATGGAGGAAGAGAGAGTGAGTTTGCATCTTTATCTTGAGTTTGCAACTATATCATTTTATGATGAATCTTACTTCAATATTATTGTTTATTGCATATACCTGTATCATTTTTTGTAAAACCGGGCGGATACCAATTCTCCCAGTAATTAAGTTGACGAACCCTCAAATATCGACCGCCTCTCTTTCCATAGGCCTATCAAAATAATCCTTCCACCCCCTGTATTTACTTCACTTCTTTAGTTATGTCCCTGATGTCCTTAACCTCTTGTATTGTTTTTATCTTATAACCTCCAAGTGGATAGTGCACTATAGCTATCATTATATTCATCGAAAAGCTAATGAAATATCTATACTAGTATCACTCGCGTGGAAGTTTATGCCACTTTGACCTTTCAAACTTCCATTTCATGGACATATAATTACATGCGTCTGTTCATTGACGTGTGGGATTGGATTACACATCAGGATTAGGATTATGCCTATTACCTTTGCACGGCAGGACGCCATGCAAATACCCACGATTTACTGATAGAAACCTCTCTTCCTCCCCCTTTTCCCGCCCCTTTCTATACCCACTTCTCTCATTCTGTCATGCTTTTATACCCCTCTACATGCACCCCTCTCCCTGGTTACCCCTACCCCTCTCTTGGGTTCTGTTCCCCTGTTTTATGTGCCTCATCTCTATACTTCTTATCGGCTATCAGTATCACTGACGAAGACATGAATAAGCCATTTTGTTGGTATTTTTATTGGATCGGTACCTTTTCACAGACGCACAATCAGGGCTAAAGAAGCCTGTACTATATACCGTGCTTATGACCTACGTCACCCATTCAGTTAAATGTTTGCATCGGGTATATAGTTTCTACTTATATTAAAGGAATTTTGTATGAGGTCATTTAAACACGCAGTAAGGTGCTCTCAAAAATATTACGATTTTTGTTTTTTAAACTTTCGTTCTGTGATGAACGCTGATACTATTGTCAATGTTATGCATTCTCTTTTTGATTGTTTGTTTGTTTGTTTGTTTGTTTGTTTCTTCATTTCTTTCTTATGACTTACGTAGCCTATATATTCGTGAGACAGTGTTTGTGCCTCATATTCCTTTGGTCTATGAGGTCAGTTGCGGGTAGAAGAATGCCCCCAATATATTATGAATACTACGTTTCTCCCTCCCCCTCTCTCTCTCTCTCTCGCTCTATTCCCCCTCTTTATTTCTTTCTTTCCACTTTTTGTTTTAAAAAAGTTTTTAAGATCTCCGTCAACTGTTGACGAGACATTTGTTTGCCTCGGGTATATTCTTATCCTTTGGTCTATTAGGTCAGCTACGTGTAAACACGAAATATACTGTGAAAATATTATGTATGCTTGTTTATTTTCTTTGTACGTTCTCTATTTTCCCCCATCTCTCTCTCACCCTCTCTCATTCTCTCTGACTCTCTCTCTCTCTCTCTCTCTCTCTCTGACTCTCTATCTCCGTACAATAAATTTCTCTTTCTCTTTCTTTTTTTCTTATAGTTTAAAATACTTCACTTATTCATGAATCAGTGTTAGTGTTTGCCGCGGGTGCATTCCTAATTCGATATTTTATATTATAAGTCAGAACCGTGTATAAACACTCAATAAGAACCTCGGATAATCTTAATATTTTGTAGGCCTGTTATTTTTCTGTTATATTCACTTAATATACTAAGAGTATCATTCTCTCTCTCTCTCTCTCTCTCTCTCTCTCTCTCTCTCTCTCTCTCTCTCCCCTTTTTTTTTTAAGACTTGATCGTAAACAGTCTTGACAGTGTTTGCCTCGAGTATATCCTTTGCTCTACTGTGTTAGCTCCGTCACGGTAGAAGGCAACACGCAGACGGTCGCTTCGAAAATATGATGTATTTGATGTGTCCCTTCCCCCGTCCCTCTTTCTTTGTAATATTTGGCACATTTGGTAAGCTATCTTTTCAAAGAAGATGTAGAAATATTCAGGACTATGTGTAAGGTTGTGACCGCTACTTTATATCATGAAATGATTACATGTATGTTTAAGCATCGAAGATTTCGATGTTATAAATAAAGTACATATTTTTCTTAAGAAAATTGACTTGTACAAGTAGATTTCCCTACATGCACTTCACACGTACTTGCATTCCATCTCAACAGGAAAATGTGTCTTTTGTGAAACTGACAAAGAAAATTGGAACAAGGTCAAAGACTAGCATAGGGTTGTTGTGAACTTGTGATATAAAATTGGCATCAGTTTGTTATCATGAATAATTGATTGGGGCTACAATAAGTCAATAAATGTCTTTATCGTATAAATGAATGCAGTAACGTATACTTTGGAATACCTAAGAAAGAAAAAAAAAACTCAATAATGCTACATTTTCTTGTAGATATTACTCCCATGTTTACCTTTGGTTATGATACATGATCTGACAAAGGCAACCCTTTACTATTCTGTACTGATAATGTGGTGTAATGTGTAGGCCTCTTGAGCTTTGAACATTGAGCCATGAACATTTAGTCTTGTCAAAGTATAAGAATTCTTTCACGGACTATAAACAAATAAGACATACATGTACTTCCCGTTCCGGATTTCATAAAGTTGTTTATGAAACGTTTTGTAAAAGGCAATACCAATCTGATAACAGTCTGTACGTGACTATCACATAGAAATATAGATCTATGAAGGGAAAAAGTACTCATGAAAGATATTTTACCGCAGTTCTGATCATAAAATATCAAAACGTAATATACAAATTGGAATATTCGCAGAAGCTGAAATATTGTAACTGCGGAAAAAACCTTGTTAACTACCACTATAGTACCAGTATGGGGCGGAAGGGGGTGTCTCCTTTGAAATTTGGCTGCTATGGAAAACGTTGCTGTATGCTTTTGGATTCATTATTATCTGACCACGATCCCTTAATGTTTATTTAACCTGGTAATCAGCAATTTAAACGAAACCAACGTGTCCGTCTGTAGTATATAACGTCTTTAGTGGCGCGCTAGCGTATCCAGCATAAAGTGGAATAGGCGTATACGCCCCTTGGAGCCCCCACTCCCAATAAGTACTCTGTAGAAGATAAAGTTTTCTGATAAAATAATTCATTGTGAAAGAATAGTAAGGACCTCTTCTTTAAACATATGGTATACCCAATGTAGACCACAAGAGACGGTAGTGGTGTACCATTGATTAGGTCTACGTGTATATGTTGTATTTTGTACTTGTACGTCACATCCTTATTTAGGACTCAATTTTTTTTTAGGAGATGTATAGGGGGCGGCACTCCTGAGGTATACTCCACCTCTATCTATTCCGTCTGGGGATGATTCCACTCATATCATCATTATACGCCACTGGAGGTTATTAGAAACAGAAACAGGGTCCTCGATCACCTCAAGTCCTCTTAACATCAGAACATAAGTGTGTTTAAGGGACCAGTCAGCAACAGCGGCCTATTAGTTTGCACTTTGCAGTTTCATTATTGATTCCTTTTCATTTATTGATACCTCATTCACCTACATGTCTTATACATCAAGCAAAGGTCACTCTTAGACGTAGTTCTGGTATGTAGTCAAAGGAATTCAAAGAATTTTATCTGAGAACTTAGGTAGCCAAAGTAGGGTTTTATGACACATCAAGAGCTACTTCCTTGCACAGATTTATGACACTCACACGCCATGCTATCAAGATGATCACATAAATAATAAATATGCTTATAACATGACAATGACGACACATTTGACATAAATTATACTTGCGTTCAGCTCTTCTGTTGTATTCTTCTATTGTCTTAGAATGTTATCCTAGTGAGACCAGTCGACGTATTTCTCCCCTCTCTGAAATCATTATCATCCACTTTTAGACATCTCTGTGACAAAAGCAGGAGCATTTACTCATATACTCAGTTTGATTTCTGTTATTTTCGGAGGTTGTAGAATACAGCCCTATATCCTCGTTATTCAAAGGTTTTGTGACTAAAATTCATGTTCCGTTATCCGTGATAGATTTTCCCCTAAGAATCATTATCATCATTATCATCATCATCATTCAACATCATCATTCTCAATATCAGCGTCGTCATCACATCATCATCTTCGTCATCATCATCGTTATCGAAATCTTCGTCATCATAACCACACCACCACCATTCCGTTCTATGTTTTCGTATTTTCTATATACTATCCTGGTGAAACTCAATATCAGCGTCGTCATCACATCATCATCATCTTCGTCATCATTATCATCACCACCACTATCACCACCACCACCACCATCATCATCACAACCATTCCGTTTCTTCAATTCTTTCACGTTTTTGAATATTCTGATGAAGTTATCTATTCTTTAATTTGCATAATTTTACACATGAATTGCTCGATTTCTGTATGTATGGTTTGGTCAGCAAAATCTCCTCTCCATACACATCCACGTACTTTAAACAGTATGAATAATAAGATATTGTTTTGAAAGTAGGCCTATTTACGAAACGTATATGGCTAACCACTACAGAACACGATGAAATAATTTGATATCGGACGATACAAGAAAATAACTCACTCCACAACTTCAACGGATTGATCACTTCCGAAGACCTCCGATTATTTCCGGATAATGCCGATATAACTGTTGCAAGGACGACATGTTATCAATCCTTGATCGCAAACCCCGGTTCCTAAGTTGAAAAGGTTAAATTTGAAATGGAAACAAAAATCAAATTTTTTAAAGAGAAAGAAGATGTGATAGGTATGACTATTGTTGTGCGATAAAATACTCATTCCAAAACTGAACCTTTGCATCATATTTGAACTAAATTTGTATTCAATTTCTGTCATCAACAATCATTATACATGTATCAAAAGACATAGAACTTACATCATAAATATTTCAGCCATCATTAAGATTGTATAAATTGATTAAATTGAATTACAGGGATAGCGCACAGACAATGCTTGTTTTTAAAGTAAAGACCCCTTGACAGAATAGAACAAAATTAGTTGCACAGTTTAATATACATAAATAGTGAAATCGTGTTCATGTATGAGCAGAAATTTCCAATAAAACTACCGAAACGTTTTGAAATTCATATAATCATAAGTTTATTTTATTGAATCATACATTAAACTTATTAATCGTAACTTAATTGTATTACCAACGTAAGCTCCATGTCAATTTGAAACCAGTGTTAACTACAATAATGAATAACATATTTATCTCCAAAGTTTTCACTGACAGAGAACTAGGAGTGTAGAGTAACTTTATAGATGAATACTTAGTTCATATACTGTTCAGAGTGTCCCGAATCAATAGTCTGTTGTCATTAAAATTGCCTACTTGTCCGGACATACGTAATATTTGTTGTTCTTTTCCTTTTTTTTTTCTTTCTTGACAGTTGTCTACTGTGACTATACAGCTTCGGGAAGGTATGTAAATCCCCTCTTCCTTGTCTTTGTATAACTGTTATTGATTTCTTTGCCGGGTGGATTAGACAGGCCTATATAGTTGTTGACTGACTGACCTTATATCCTATAATGCCTACTGAACGCAAGCCAACCAAGAGTACACCGGTTGAACTGTAAAATCAAAACTCGTAATCAAGATGCCATATGATGCGGACTTCCTGATTCATTTGACAGACTGAATTCGGTTTGGTAACAGTGTCATTAAATAATCCCAACCTTTACAACTGGTTGAAATACATGTGAAGATAACCCCCAAATAACGGGAAAACAGGCAACAGCAATAAAATACAGTTTTCTTTTTAGTTATGACAAGATATTACATAACAGATAAAAACCACCATGACTTGTGATTCTTCTTGGCGTTGGTTATTGGCAGGATAGAAGGCCCATTGGTACATTTTATTTGTAAAAACAAACATTATGAAATTTATTCGATATTACTTTATTTATTCTTTACATTCTGACACAATTTTGTATTTTTAAAAGATTTCTATTCTTACTGCATTCAGTTATAGTTCATTTCTATATCATCATTAACTGCAGATTGCACATACATGATTCTAGAATATTGGTATAAAGGGGTAAAGTGTATACACTCCCACATGCTACTTCAGTATATGGGCCACTATTTAAATAGTTACCAGATTAGTCCCTTTTTACCCCATTACTCATTGCTATTTGCATTTCTCCCTCGTCCGTCTCTATTGGTATTATTTTAGTCTGGTAGACACGTTGTGCCTCACAACACAGACTACCGTGTGGAATTTCCTTAATCTTTAGTCTTGAGTCAACCCTGTTACATTGCAATAAGTGGGATGATTCTTGGGGTGATGATAACATGGATGCCCAGAAACGACCTTACTTCCGGGGTTTGGCTAAGATCCTATGAGTTTCTCTTCAAACTAAATACACAATGGTTGCCAAATTTCCGCCATCACGACAAGAAATCATGAATCATTTTGGATTACAATGGAAGAAAAACACATAAAACGAAGTATTACAATAGAGCAACTTTTACGGTTATGATTTAATTAAAAAGATGAACACAATACAATGGTTTTACCTTTGGGCAACTTCAATGAATGAATATTGATAAGATTTCATTCCATTCCATTATATTGTCATCAATTTTTTGGAAAGTTCCAATCAATTTACCCATTTTGCCCTCCAAATCGTTAAAAGAAGTAGGTTGACAAATTACCATCACATTCGCATATAGAGCGAATCCGAATATTTAGACAAAAAGACATTTCCACAATAGTTTCAAGTCTAGCGAACACACGAATGGTAGATTGGTATTTATTTTGCTATAATCACAGAGTTCTAATAATACTGCGTGCAATTGTTTGTTTCTTAGAGCGATTTATCTTTTGGGGTGACGAGGCCTAATTCGAATAAGTGACATTGTCTTACGAAGTGTCCCTGTGCCCTGCACGACTTAATTTTCATAAACAGTATTTTACCCATAAATAATAATGATTTTTTAATCACTTGATGTGACCGTTGGCATGGTTGTCGAATGTCTCTTTCTGATGTGGCTATAACTTATATAATGGCCACATTTTTAATCAATCATCTTAACAGTCGGTTGATGTGAAAAATTTGTCGAATGCGTCTTTAATTCTTTTTAAACATGACAAGTTTGCATTATTTTGTATCATTTTGTTTCATTTGTTTCCAGAGCGGTAAAATTCATCGAAGACTACATCACAGAACACGTTCAACCTCTGTACGCCAACACTCACACAACCACTGGTCTGATGGCAAGACAAACAACCAAATTTAGGAAAGAAGCAAGGTACAGCATCCGATCATAAGCCTTACGTAACATTGTTAAATACTGTAATTGATTTTATTAAGCACTAATATTGTTCTGTTAAGGCGTTGCACCCGTGTTGTAAATTGCGAGTATCCTGTAAAAAATCGGCTGATTAGATGTCGATCTAAAAATCAGTCAGCTTGTGTATTTGATTATCTAACTTTGCATCATTTTGTTATCATAACGACAAGCAAGTATCTTCAAAAAGGTGCATCACGCGAAAAATACATATTGATGTGTTTATGTTACAGTGTCGTAGCTAAGGAGGAATGGGACATGTGCCCCCTTAACGAACTGCAGAAAAACAGAAGAAAGAAGAAAGGTAGAGTTAAAATGGAATGTCAAAACGGATGACAGGACCCCTCCGATTACCCCCTATGGATTATTGTATCCATATAGAGAGACAAGTGCCCCAACCCTCTCCCTTATTATTATTTTTCCAGCCCAGATATAATGAATTTTTTACGTTAATGGTATTATGATGTTTAAAGAAAGAGGACAAAAAAAAATGAAGTATCCCCTATCCTGTTCATTGTTTCAAGGGAGATTGGTGCGATTTACAAGAAAAGAACTATTAATATAACTAGTATTGTTATTTTGACAGGGACATCATCAAGAAGTGTGTGAATGCGACAGATGATGATGCTCTCATCTTCACTGGTAGCGGGACCACTGGGGCAGTCAACAAACTGGTATCAGCCCTCCTGCTCAAAGGAGAACGAGCCAAGAAAACAGTGAGATGTCTCATATATCTATTCCAATAACAGCAACAGTCTTGTGTGGTGTCACGGCAGATATAGTTCCTTTGGCGGGATCGATACCGTCACCCAATCCGCCCGGCCGATCTGTTGCTTTTGACGAAACAGATCGTCGTCATCACTACAACGGGGCGAGACGTATATTGTCATATTGTCTATATTCTAGTGTATGGATCGCTTTATCTCTTTTGATATTCCATGATTTTTTCAGTTCTAGCTAGGATCTTTTTTTGTGGAGGTAAATTAATGAATCAGATCAATGATTAAAACTAAAGACAATATTCTGCAGGCAACTTTGTGTTGCTCTTGTCGAAATAATGAATGACCGTCATCAAATCCGCTAAGGAACCGTATCTGCCAGAACATCGGATGGGGGTGGCTATTATGGTAGCGATGATTAGGACAGGGATGTCGTGATGGTGAATGAAACGTTGCTTATTAAAAATAATCGCTAATGAAATGACAATTATGAAATATTTGTTGCAAATGAAAATATTATTTGTTTATTCTCAAGAACATTAGGCGAGTGAAACCAAAATTATCTTGGTGTTGTTGTAGACGACAAACAGCGAGCTTCATATTCACAATATTCACGCCTGGAGAAAGAAAAGATGTGATGATATTGTTGTTCTTCTTGTTTGTTTTTTGTCGTTATGTACTTATAACATCATATCTCTTCTCTGATAGGTTGTTTTCGTCGGACCTTATGAACATCATTCAAACCTACTGCCATGGAAAGAAACAGGAGCTAAGGTAACCTATTCCCCTTCCCCCATCTCCCCCCATCTTCCCCTTCTTCTTCTTTAGCTTCGTTTCCGTATTCTTCTATTTTCTTCTATCATTGTCTATTTTTCAATTTCTGTCTCCTTCCTTTTCCTCATCTTCCCCCTTTCACCGTAATCAGTATCAGTAATGTTCATCGTCCCACCCTGTAAGTCTTCTCTTCATGTTCCTTCTCTCGCCATTTTTTCTTATTCTATGTTCTATAGCGCTTAGAGACTTCTTTATAAGTAACGGTTTTATTATTATTATTATTATATTCCCGTCTACCATCTTTATTCCTATTGATGAGGGATTGATGATATAATCAGCTTTAAAATACGTTTTTAAACCATGAGTAATAAAGGTATAGAGCCTTGATTCGCCCTCTTTATTTTAATAGTGTTTCTAATGTATTGCGGTGTTGTTTCCAGTAATGCAATATAATACTGAGTTCCAAATGTTCGATTCTGTATTCTGGAAACTCGATATATATAATTCCGAATGTTCGTAACCCCCAAAATAGGCACACATTCCGGTCTTTGTGTTGATCACGCTTGGAGAGTGCGTCATTCGTTGGCTGAAGGCCAGCGTAAATTTATCTGATATTTGATTTAAAAAAAACCTTTAGAATATCATAAGAAAATCGTGATGAAATGAAAAAAACCTTAGAATAACAAAAGAACCATGAGATCAAAAGAAACCTTAGAAATCAGAGAGTACCCTCCGATAAAAAGAACCTTTAGAATAACGAATCAAAGAACCTTGTGATTCAAAGAACCTTTAGAATAACGAATCAAAGAACCTTGTGATTCAAAGAATATTCGATGCAACGAAATAACTTTATAATAGAGCACCTTCGGAATATACCCTGTGACAATAAGAACCCTAAGATTAACCAAAAGGCAAATGGAATTTCGAATCGAACATATATGGCTGTGATAAAAGAACCACCGCGATACCGTAAGAACCTTGTGATAAAAAGGGGAAAAAAATGGTTTACGGGGGCTCCAGTTCTCGAGGCCCCCCCCCCACACACACACACACACACTCACGCACACGCACACACACACACGCTCACTGTAGTACGTCAGTCATGCTAATCGCGTTTTAAATGATTTTATTTTCTAGGTGATCAGAATACGTGACAACAGTCGAGGTCTGATTGATATGGTGGCACTGGAGGAGAGTTTAGAGGTAAGAGAGAAATAATAGGTAGCAACATCATACAAAAATGGCACTGGTTGCTGAAAGTAATCAGGCTGATAAGTAAGTAGTCAAAATCCAAGAGGATTGTCAAAAGGGGAATTGTTGAAATGTTTGAAAACGGAAATTCTGTAGATAGCGTAACAAAATGTAGCGATTACGCAACTATTACATTTTTGTTTGAAGAAGGGGAGCCGCGCTTTTTTCTTCTTCTTCTGTTGGTGGATTCGCCAATGGCATTGGAAGTAATTGTGATGTTGTCGGCAGAAGAATGTGTTGAAAAGCCAAGTCCAAGATATCACATTAAGATAAAAGTACTGGAATTTGCAATGATAAAGTATATTTAGATTTTCGATTGGTTTATTTATAGTAGATTTAATGCAATAGTGTTGCCGATAGATATACGAAGCCATGTGCCATCCCCCCCCCCCCCCCCCACTCAGTGTTATTTAGGGTACCCATATACTTGTTCCCTCTTTTTGAAAGCACCCCCTATCTGAGGACTGCCAACATTTGCGAACCCCCCTTTCGCGGGCTTTTCGCGGGCTTTTCGCGGGCTTTTCCTGCCTTGGAGACCCCCTAAATCAGGAAAAATGCTCTATGTACCCCCCTAAATTCGGAATAATTTCTCAGGAGTCCAAAGAGATGAGAGAAAAAAGAAAAAACACCCCCTTTTTAAAGAAATCTCCGGGTGAAAAGTTAAATACACCCCTTTTTTTACAATTTTTGGGCCGGACTTTGTCGCACGAAAAGTACCCCTTTACCGGACATTTTGGCAACACGCATGCGGTCATTCCGACCTCTGAGTGGGGGCCGGGGTGCCATCATACCTATGAAATAAAACTATTTCTAATGTGATTCTAGGTATTGAAAGTATTTAACTACAAACAACCGCTCTCTACGAGGGAAGAAACGTATGTTTATTCCATCAAACTGATTATTAATCTATATTAAATGATTATCCGTATTAAATCACTTCCCTTTTTTTCTCTCTTATCATCCAACAGAAACACCAGAAGAAAGATCGCTTTCTAATCGGCTGTTTTTCCGCCGCGTCCAACGTCACGGGTATCATCTCGGATACTCACCAAGTGGCGGCGCTCTTGCACAAATATGGTGCCCTGTCTTTCTGGGACTATGCCACGGCAGGTGAGAACAGCTTTCAGAATTTTCAAGAATTAAAGTTGAATTCGTGCGAATGCATAAACTTTAGAGTTAAGATGACATTGAACTTGGGTAAAACGTTTGTTATTATTATTATTATTATGATTGTCATTATTATTAGTAGTAGTAGTATTATCATTATTACTATTTTCATGATTGTTATTATCATTATTATTTTAATTCATTATACTTTTCATTTTCATTTATCTTCTTATCTTTGTTTAGTATGATTATGATTTTTATTTTTATCAGTATGATTGTTATTATTATCATTATTAGTATTATTATTCCTTCTGCTATTATTATTGTAATTATTATATTAATGTGTTCATTATTATTATTATTGTTATTGATTGTATAAGAAGTAGTAGTATTTGTTATTATTATAATTATTATTTTTCATTGGAGCATATAGCAAGAATGAACAGACAATAAAAGTGTATGCTCAAGGAACCTTCCCTCTTTTCACTATCTCTCTCTCTCTCTCTCTCTCTCTCTCTCTCTCTCTCTCTCTATCTAGGTCCCTATCTTGCCATTGACATGAATCCAGATTCCCATGGGTAAATTTTCTTTCTTTTTTGCTTTGTTTTTCATATTTGTTTGTGTGCGACAGAAATGTTTATATACCGTCTTTCATTCAGTAAACGTTTGGCTCTGATTTATCTATATATGCTCCTTTATATACTCAGTTATCACTTTTGTCTTTCATATATATATATATATATATATCGTGACTAGAAATGACATAGAAATGACATACAATAATTTAGATACGCGGTAACTATGCAGCTAACATGTGCATTTTGTATTTTCAAAATGACTTAGTATCTTCTCTGCTTACGTCTTTTGTCATGCAATAGATCGCATTATTCACTTATGGCGTTGTTTTATAATAAACGAGTAAGCAAATAATAATGTCATTTCATGACAGCGGTGAGGGAAGGGTATATGTAAAGTAATTTGATATGATTACCACGGGGAGTACCATGAAAATTCCTTAGATGGTCTTACTCTGTTTTTATCATAGAACTGATGACGATTTCAGCAAAGATGCCGTATATCTGTCACCTCACAAGTTTGTCGGTGGCGTCGGTACACCAGGTATAGTATTAAAAGAAAGAAAAATGATCTTAGCACCCAAACGGAATGATAGAAAGGTTTTTTCTATTACAAAATTGTAGGGAAATGTTGACCTTCCAAACAAGTCTACTTTCTCAAACAGTAAGTGACTAAAGACATACATGTTTAATATCAATAGAATCGAAACCAGAAAGATAACCTTCTAGTTTCTAATAATGGCACACACTTCTCTTGAACTGTTAGACGTTCCTCATAACAACCACGAAAATGCTATACTGTGTCACTGGACAAAAATGGTTTCCTCAATGCCATAGGAGGTTGTGTGTCTGGGCACTTCACACACATTGTAGTGAGGCGGCTCGTGATAATGATTATGTGCGAAGGCATTAATGACTTCAATAGTCAAAACATATTATTATCATAGTTGCTTAAAATGCCAATAGAAAGGCAATTTATCGCATTAAACTATTCAAAAACCTAGTTTCATATTTTCTTTTTAAATGCCAAGCTCTTGTACTACTAGACAGTTCATGCAATTGAATCCAATATATAATAATATGATATAATATTTCGATTTGACAAGAGTAACCAGTTTACGTAATTGGAAATCATCACCGTTGTTTTTCTTTCTTTGTTTGTGTTTTCAGGAATCCTGATAGCCAAGAAGAAACACTTTCTGAACAAAGTACCTCACTCTGTAGGCGGTGGAACAGTCCTTTACGTGAGTTTAGATGATCATTATATACAGCTAGTACATTGAATATCTTTCTCCAAAATGCATATATATGACAATCCATTCCTAACTGTAATGATTCAACACAATTCGCTAGTCCAATCCAATTTGCAATTCAGCCATTGGCTGCGGTTACAAAATAATCTATTTACGGCAAACAACTTCCACTCAATCTTGATCTTTTGACAGGAGGTCACAGCTGAAGAGATCTTATAATAGCTTTTAATTGCTCTATAATTAATGTCGCATGAAAATTATGTCCGTCTATCCGAATCTCAACAAAATCAAAGGCATTCTCAAAAGCCTTGTGAGTCACTTATCTAAATGTTCCGACATGGCATAATCCGAACATGATTTTGGAAGACAATAGAACAGGGTATTTAAATTGCCCTAAAATTAATTTCTTGAAAGGCTTTCTGATCTTGTTCCTTCTCGCTTGTATATTTGAACTATATTTGGCCGGCCGAGCTCTGCACTGGAATGCTAATCGGATGTTCTTTTGTTTTTCTTTTAGGTTACCAATGAAACTCACCACTACATTCATAATATAGAAGAGAGAGAGGAAGGAGGGACGCCCGCCATTGTCGAATCTATCAGAGCAGGACTTACTTTCAGACTCAAAGAGGTGATTTTTGAAATAAACAAAGAATCAGACAAGTAAAACATATAAACAAACGAATATTTGCATGTACCCGTATTATTGAATGAAAATCTTTAATTTTTTTCTACACTGCAAAAAATGACAGACAGGTTGGCTATTATTGAATTTGATCTCAATTGATATTGAAGCAATACTCAGTCTTTTCAAGTGAACATGATGATGAACTATTCATGCCAACGCTAACTTAAAATTCTTGAAAACAATCAAAAACTTGACTCGTGTTTTTCGTCTGTTCGCCAACGCCCATATACAAAAATAGCGTGACTATTCATTAACATTGCTGTATGTGTCTTTCTTCTTTATCATGCAGCCCATAATGATTAAGCAATCAGTTATATTGCCCCTTAGCCAACAAAATAATATGGAGATTTTGTAATTTTCTATACATTGTATAGTGCTCAATTCCGATTATCAGGAATGATGTGAGGGCTACAGTTATTAATTCTCTTATGGCGAAACAATGCCAGAGAGGTTTGGGCTGTTTTCACATGAGGCAGTTTTGCGCAGAATAATCATTTTGACTATAATGAATAGATTGCAATCTATTTATGACCTCTTAACCCTTTGCTTACGGGAACCTGGTGGACCCTGTGTTTAGCCTATGGGACCTATACAATTTAGTAGTCAACGGGTTAATTGCATTTTGAAGATATCTTAACAATTGTACTGTATCCCAATTTTGCTCCTTTACAGTCAGTCGGAATAGATTACATTGAAAGAAGAGAAGAAGAGCTTACCAAGTAAGTAGAATATAAGATAAATTTAACAAAAAAGAATGTTACTGATATAATGGTACGGGGAAATATAGATAGATAGATGAAAGAAGGAGGGAGGGAGAGAAAAGAGAGAGAGAGGGAGAGAGATTGGGATAAAAGAAAATGGCGGGATAGACTAAGAGGGAAACTAGTGCAAAGAAATAAAATGACTTCTCGAAATGTCACGCTGTTTGTCCTAGCCGATCACTAGTCTTTGCAATTTACCTTGTATTCAACTGAATTGTATGGCTTCGCAGTTTAATGCCAATATTGCACGATGTGCCATTATTACGCCTACTTACGTACGAACAGAAGCAAAGTATCTATCACTCTTCATAACAAATTGGAATATAAACGGGAAGTCGTTAACAATAATTAATTAATTATTGATAGCCATGATATTTGCCAATCATGTGCACGAAATTAAAACGAGTTGAATAAGTAAAAAAAAATCGTTTACGTAATGATGCTGTAAAAGACATGTGGACATAAAATGTAAAAAAAAAAAAATGCCAAATCGTAATGAATATTCCAATTAAGGCTGAAAAGTAATTGTTTAGTTTTTTACTTGAAATAAAACAAATCTGTCAAAATGTTTTTAATGACCGTACCAAACTTTCCTTTGTTTAAAACCGTCTATCTTGCTAATGCTATTAATAGCTTCAATCACAAACTCGGTTATTTTTTCCTTTGTCTGATAGGCTTGCCTTTGCCAAATGGAAGAAGAATCCCAACATATTGATTCTAGGGAGCAGCCGAGCCAACCGTCTTTCAATCTTCTCCTTCATGATTGTCCATCCGAAGACAGGCAAGATGCTTCATCATAACTTCGTGGCAGTCCTCCTTAATGATCTCTACGGTATCCAGGCCAGGGGTGGCTGTGCATGCGCTGGACCCTATGCTCAGGTAGGGACCGCGTTGTTGTTGGAGGAGGAGGAGGAGGAGGATGAGGGCTCCATCGGTGGTGATGATGTGGTGGTGGTGGTGGTGGTGGTGGTGGTGATTGGTGGTTATGGAGTTGGTGGTGGTGATGGTGGTGATAGTAGTGGTGTGTGTGTCGGGGGACGACTTTTGATTGTGGTGATGTTGGTAGTGGAAGTGCTTGAGGTGATAGTGGTAGGGGTACTAGTGGTGGTAGTCAAGGTTGTTAGAGTGGTTGGAATGATTATTATAGGGAGCGTTGCTTGTCAGAATGTTTAGAGATCACTTCAGATGTTAATGTGAGAACCAGACAGCCCTTCCTTGGGGTGAAGGTATAGTCCATAATCATACTGATTTCATTTTAATTGGGGAATATCCCCATTCTCCTGGCGTATACATTTAGAAATGACGCCATCTTTGGCTGGCAGCTGTTTGGGGGAAGATTACGTAATTAGAGTAAATTGCCCTTTAAAAAAAAGAATCGGCCAGATTCTGGACTAGAGTGAAAAGTTATGGTGTTTCAGTGTGTTTTTATAAAGGACCCAAACCGAAATATTACCGCATTTACACAGCCCTAAAACGCGTGTAAACTCATACATAATATAACCAGGGAGGTGAAGCCCTGATATAACTATGTGAAAACTACCATGTCGAAATTATTAACTGGAAAATATATCCCAAATGATATTCAATGTGTGCTTTTTCCAATCTAATATTAGAGCTATTTATTATTCCTCCAAATACAATTTAGGACTTACTTGGAATAAATGAAGAGCTCGCTGAGAGATTCGTCTACTTCTTGACAGATGAGAGGTTAGTTGAATTTATTTATTGCGTCTAAGATCGTTGTATCAATGATAAAAGGACAATCTTCCTCTTCTTTCTTCAAATAAAGTCTTTATTCAATTTTTTTTAAAGCATAAAACATTATAAGCAAATGTACTAATTGATGAATACATACGTTTGACAGACGTAGGTAAAATTTAAAAAAAATTCTAGTATTCAAATAAGTGGGACGTGCCTCCATCTATCGAGAAATAAAATAAACTTATCTTTAATGTTTATAACAAGAATGCTATGTTATTTGTTCTCTTGCGAGTAAGCACAAAATGCGACATATGAAATTCTTGTATCACGTGTATAATTATGGGAGTGTTTGTTCTTTTTTGTTACTCTTTAATTTCATGTGGAGGCTTTTGGTATGCCTCCTTGACAACAATATTATCATAGGAATTATGATTCTGATTTTGTGTCGTAAATGGATGTACTATAATACAATTTCATCCAACCAATTTCACTATATCGCCATGTGTTCAAAATCACTTTATTTTAGGAGGAAGTAAAAAGATTAGGTAATTCATAATGTATGTTTCATTTATGTATGTAATGTTTGGTTTTATCAACAGTAAAGAAAAGAAAGAAAAGACGAGACGGAGAAGAAATGGAAAGAGAACTGATAGTACAGCGTCTGAATTCAAGAAGGTGAAGAAGACTAAAACGCCGATGGAAATTATGAAGTAAGTCTAATTATGATTAGCCTTTTCAAAGTTTATTCTGAAAATTATTCTAAAAATAAAATTGGCCTAAATCGAGGAAAGTGGTTTAAATCTAAACCATGGTTTTAAAAAGATCGGAAATAATATGTGTTCGCCTATATAAATAAAAGTGTTATTGAAATGTGTACGTCAATATGGTATTGACAAACGTAAACGAATTTCTTCTTAAATTTTTGTGATTATATCTCACATATTCTGAATATATTGGAATGACTTAGCCTTGTGTGTAGCCTTAGATTGTGATGGACTTTTCTCATTTATTCATTCCCTGCGAATGCTAGTGATAACATAACAATCTTATATAATACCAATATCTCAGATGTACCCAACCTTTTTCTTTTCGGCAAATGAAAATATTTGATATCCACCTTTCACCTAGACCTGGGTTTGTGAGGCTGAATCTGCCATTTTTCTTCTCTGATGACGTCATCAATTACGTACTTGAAGCGGTAGATGATATCGGAACGAACGGTTGGAAAATGCTATCACAGGTATTCAAGAACGTTTTCATAATAATATTATCTGTTATGAAAGAGAGAAATAGAGAGGGGTGTGGAGAGAGGGGTGTGGAGAGAGAGGGGGAGATAGAGATAGAGTGGAGGAGAGAGGGAGAGTGTGTGTGTGTGTGTGTGTGTGTGTGAGAGAGAGAGAGAGAGAGAGAGAGAGGGGGGGGGAGAGTGAGAGAGTGAGAGGGAGAGAGAGAGGGAGAGAGGGAGAGAGAGAGAGAGAGAGAGAGAGGGGGGGGGGGGTTGAGAGTGAGAGGGAGAGAGAGAGAGGGAGCAACAGAGAAAATGGAGAAGGAACATAATTTATGCTTCAGTAATATTCTTGGTTAAAAATGTAATTGCATTTTATGTTCTGGATTTAAATAGTTGGTTTTCTTTAGCCTCCATTAGACTCCTTTCATCTTGTGTTCATTGCTAGCTTTTTCCCCTCTTTTTTGTCTCAGTACACAATTGACCCCATCACATCGGAGTGGCAATACGTCGGCACCCTACAGGAAGAGGCAAGGCCCTCTATATCACCTGCAGGGGATAGCTTGCTAACAACTACCTTCAAAGAGGGCAGGTTCATCGCCCCTCCCAGTCCTTACGTCGGCCCCAAAACGAAGGATAGGGATGCATCAGGGACCCACTATAAGGTGAGTGTTTTAAAGCTCCGGCTTCTTTAAACACACACACTTAAATGTTTATCATTGCAAACAGGGGCGTACGCAGGATTTAAAGGGGCTTTAAAATTTGGAAATCGGGCCGAAAATTTCGCAACGACTCAGCCAGCCGTCAAATAAGCGGGGGAGGGGGGGGCACTTTTTAATTTTTTTTTTTGTTCCGTAAATTTGAAAATTTGGCCGACCGATATTTCGTTCACTTGAGGGAGGGGGGAGGGGTAAGGTCACCGTTTTGTGGTCACCCATTAGCACAAACAATTTTTTGAAATTTGTTAATTAAAAACATTTGAGGGGGGGGGTTCCTCCAAAACACACACATAATAAACAAATGAGGGGGTACGACCCCCAACCCCCCCCCCCCCCCCCCCGCGTACGCGCCTGATTGCAACTTGCAAGGTATTTCAACAAGGGGGCCGTATTTTAAAATTATGATTGCAGTTATTATGCATGATTAAGAAAGATCTGTGAGCGAAGTTGTGGTAAAGAAGAACAAAAAAAGAGGATGAGGAAAAGAAAAAGAGAAGAAGCAGAAGAAGAAGAAAGGGAAGAAGAAGCAGAAGAAGAAGAAAGGGAAGAAGAAACAGAGGAGGAGATTGAAAAAAAGAGAATAAGAATGAGAAAAGGGGGGTAAAGAAGAAGAAGTATAGAACTAGAAGAAACACAAGATCCTTTAAATGTGACTTTCGTTTTCATTCATATTTTCCTCAGACGTTTCTTGATCAAAGTACAAAGCTGATGAAAGAGGCAGGCCATCAATGTCAGGTGAGTGTGTGACACAATTTTAGGCTCTGAAAGATAAGATACCCTTTCCACTAGCAAATATTATTAAAGTGTCATATTTTGGCGGATCTAAACGTGTCTGATAGATGAGAGGGGCACAGTTATAAGAAAATGATGACACACACAAAAAAGGGCTCTAACATTTGGCCATGTGAGAGCCCACGAGTTTTTTTTTAAAGTTTTTTTAAAATCTGTATTTGTATACTGTTGTGTATAGCTTTGGCAAGGAAGCATGGGACAAATGTCTCCTGTGTCCCACCTCCCAGACCCGCCACTTAAAATAATGAAATAATTATCTTAATGCATATCAAAGGGTATTGTCAAAGGAATTTGTGTTTTGTTTTTCTTCAAAATATGAGGTGATTGTTAAAGTGATTATTGTTGTATTCTTTGTTTTAATAATACCCAGTTCCCTCCAGAAGTTATGGTTGATACCGTCGGACCTAGCATAGGTGACCCGGATTTGATCTGGTTCATGCGACCTTACGAAGCTGTCTATCACATCCGGTACCCCGAGGCTGATCCCATGGACGCAATTCCAAGTTTGACTGAAGGAGACGGTCCGGCGGGAGCAGCGAACGGAACGAACCCTGCTGATGCTCGTTCCAAGCTGACGCACGCCCCCTTCAGACCCAAGCGTTATACCAAGAGGAGTCTGTCACGTCGGTTCTCTTTTAAGAAACAACCTCGACACCGGAAGAAGGAGAAAAAAGAATCCACAGGCATCTGTTCGATTATGTGAAGTCCTTACAGCTCTCCTTCCAATGACTAATGGAGTATAAAGCCACTTGCTTCAAAATTGTGATGCCAACATATTAAATCAAAGCAAAAAATGCGCTAAAGCGGCCACAACAAATCACGTAATACTATGTTGATGATGCGTTTCATCCTTTCTTTTTTTGTAATCGCTATATACTCTATAAAAACAAAAGATGTTAAATATGATTATCAAACAAGAAATCACTTCACTGGAAATTATTTATTGTAAAGCCTCATATGAGTTAAGCCAGTTTATCTGGACAAATTTGTAGTGGGATGCTTTCAAAAGGAAAACAAGAAATATGCTTTTGCACACATTGTGCCGTCAAATATTTTCATATGACTATAATTATGTTTAACTGATTAACTGTTGTAATGGAGTGATACATGACAGGCGTGTACATTGGATTATAGTCGTTTCAGCACAGAATATATTCATATTGAAAGAAAATGTCACTTTATGATACATAAACTCGGGACAGTCGGAAGTCATTGAAAATTCGGATTTATTGTACGAAAGAGTGTTAAATAATCGACATATTATACGTCTAAAGACATCCCATGTATTTTCTTACTTTACATCAAATTTATGTCTATTCTTATTAGCGAATAGTTTGATTTCATTAATAGGAAAATGTATCCTTGCCGGACGAGAATATACGAGACCATAATTCCTCCTGTAGATATAATAAAAAGTACTATCGACTACATCAGGCACCATATACACGTCTTGCCTTTGCAAGTACTCATCTGAAGAATGTACTGTTTTTATATATTTATCGCTGAATTTTTTTTTGGGTTGTACATTCGGGATTATATGAGAAAGTGCATTATTTGATTTGACGTAGCATACTGCCAGTCTGAATAAAGAATGAATGTGGTTGTTGTTGTTGTTGTTTTAATATTCGGTATGATTTCTCTCCATTAGTTTCATGCTTCCATGATTGTTTCCGTGTTAAACACGCGATTGCTCAGTGGTAGAGTCAGTGGTCTTGTAACCGTGAGGTCCCGGGTTCGAAACCAAGTCGAACCGCTAGTGCCCTTTGGTAAGGCATTTATCCTCATTACTTAGTCCCTCGGAGAAGACATAAAGCCGTCGGTTACCTGGCTGCTTACTTACAAGCATACACATGCTTTCTTAACAGCCAGGTAAAAACAAACCATCGAATCACTGAGGGGATCAATAGATAAAGCGAAGACTAACGTTAAACCTAACCCTTAACCTAATCCCGAGTCACTAACCCCTCATGGTCCAGGTCCAGATCCAAGCCCAAGCCCTATTATGTGAGCTTGGAGCCAATTGCGTATAGACCAATGTTGTGTGGAACCTGAGGATGGAAACATTCACATCAAAAAGTTTCCATGAACACTCTGTAAGTTTTTAATCCAGATCAAACTATTAACCTCTTATTGCATAATGTTCTGATGTCCGTCGTAATAAATGATTTTCTATACTAATATTTGACTGAATGTATGTATTCAACTGAAATCTGAAATAGACCCTAATTATTAATTAATGCTCATATAAAGATTTTGTTGGATTAACTTTTCTTTTTTTGTGTGCATGATTCTCATTCATGTTGTAAATATCACGACTACGATAGTAGTATAACAAAGGCAGGTATACAGGTTTAAAGAAATGAGACCCAATGAAAGGCAGAGACAATGTGAAAAGCGATGAATAATTATTGACGATTTGACTACACCAGGAATTATATACTGAACGCATGGAAGAAACATAATGCATTGGTTGACATATTATAGAATGTAGTAACATGATGTATATACGTATGATTGGGCACTTATACTTCTAACTCAGAAGAATATACATAATGATTATGTTTATAGGTAAATCGTCGGCCAGGTGGCGGAAGGGCGTTAGCGCGCGAGCGACTCGAAAACTACTTTTTAAATTATTCGCATTTAAAGATTTGTTTTATATTTAAACTGCTTTCCGTCCGGAAAATTGGTTTAAAACATAAAAGACTAATAGAAATGTTGTAGTAGATGACAGCCACAACTTTCTTCTCGAAAATAAATAAGTTTTATACAAATTTGAGGCGATTTAGTGCTAATGCCCTTCTGCTTAATGTTTCAATATTGACCTGAAATTAGAGGTAACGTCCTTCTGCCAGCCAGGCGACGCCTACACTATACGCAGAACACTATACCGGTGCAAAAAAAAAAATCTGAATCACTACCATGCTGAAGTATGGGAGAAAATGGGGTAATCTATATTCGTATACATTCAATTAAATTCGTCTTAAACCAAGCCATTACAGTGAGGAACCTACGACGATGCCTTAGAATCTTTAATCTTAGTTTTGTTCGTTGTTTTTAAGTATTGTGTTTGGAATGTGTATGTATTGCCATACTTTCTTAATTGATGTAATTAAGTCGTTGTAGCTATTTCATATGTTATATTAGATTGTTATTTTTTGGTTTTGTTAAAGGGATAGTTGAGTTCTGTTGCAGAGGGGGCTACACAAAATAATTTTTTGGTGAGATAATGAAAAACTGAGGGTCAAATTTGAAAGAACATAATATTTAAATGACAAAATTATCTTTGTTTGATCAAAATCGGTTCAGAGACGGCTGAAATATAACGATTTCTAATACTTGTGTACCACCACAAATATTAGATATTTTGAAAAAAATTGAAAAAACCGTTGAAAAAAACGATATAACACCTTTTACGTCGTATTTCAGTCAAAGCCGATGTTGGCTTTTTTGTTGTCATTTTCGTGTTGCTTATATTAACTACTATTAGCCGGCTCATGTATTGTTATTTTTAATTAAATAATTAATTAACGGGCACCGTGTTTTTCGAAAAATGGAGCTGAATTGGTATGATCGTATTGGCTGAATTTCACACATTTTGGGGTCTAAAATTACCTTCATAGCAATTTTAGGTGATAAAAGGGCACTATAAATGTCATAGATAAGAATAAGAGCAATAACCATGCACTTTGAAAGCATCTGCGGTCTGAAATCAGAACTCAACTATCCCTTTAAGCGCATATAGATGGCAACATATCATGTGCTATATAAGCCTGACATTATTATTATTATTGTTAGAATATTTGTTGATTGAGTATATATTGTTTTAATAATCCTCTGATATCCAGGCATATATGTATATATTTTGTATATTTTTCGCATCATGATGATTGAAGGTGTTTTTATAATGGTTTTGTCTATTGAAATGAATATATTGGTTATGAAATTTCTTGAAATAAATATTTACGTCTTCATTCCAACGTCTTTGGTCCTCCATTATTCTCTTTCAGTGTCCTCATATAGTCCTCCATTAAACAAAATAAACATTAAATATAGGCACCCCGAAACGCTATTGTAACAGCGAGAGAATAATCTATATTATACAATATTTCATTACAGTTCCAGTATAAGGAAATATCTTGATCTTGATCACGATGAACCATGTTTGTTTGTTTGTTGTTTGTTTGTTTGTTTGTTTTATTTATCCACGGTTAAAAACACCTGCTATCAGCCACAAGGCTGTTTTTCAGCAAGTCCGTTAAAAACATTCACACAATATACATAAACAAAACAAATATAATTCATAATACAAATTAAAATAACAAGAATACACAATGTGGAAATAACAACAAGAATACAAATGTCTAAATAAATAAATAAATAAATAAATAAATTTTTAATAACAAAAATACAAATGTGTAAATAACTCTTAATAACAATCAGAAATTTGAGGAGAAATACAATTTAGTGAAGTCACAAGCTCCTTATCACAAAACAAATCATCAGGTGTAGATTGAGTGAACGATCGAGAGAGCGTGGAAGAGGGGGGAAGAGAGAGAGAAAGAGAGAGCTGCGAATGGTAGCGAATTTGGATTCGCTAACCTTTCTGACGAATGTTGGCGAAAATCAGGGTTCGCCTCTGCAACATTTGAGCGAATGTTTTTGCGAAGATTAGCAACTATTTGCCAACCCTTTGCCACTATTCTTCAATGTTTGGGACCTTTTGCTCACTCCGGTTAACTCAATGGGTCAATTTTATAAAGGAACCATTTGGTAACATGGTCGCTAGCATTGGCGAATCAAAAAGAACTTCAGCGACACCGTCTTACAACCGTTTGCCAAGGCTTACGACTGTTTTAGCAAACGCTTGCAACTGCTTGCGGAATTTTGCGAAACTTTTGGAACCTTTAACCTTAAAGGGGCCAGGCTATTTGAGTTAGCGAACGGCGGGGCGCCATCCATATGCGTTCCCGAACAATCAGAAAAATCGTGGAGGGGGTACCAAATGCCCCCCCCCCCGGTCTTATTAGTCTTAAAGAACCCTGGCGAAATTCACCGCTCAGTGAGATACCCCTTTAAAGGATGTATTTTTATAAAACAAAAAGGACAATGTATGAGCAAACATCCCTGCTCTGAGAGCATGACAACGCCACCACCGTGAAAAAAAGAAGTAGTTAGGTTCCATTGTAGAATGATTGATTTGTGGTAATACCGGTCTACTTCTACTTCTATTGTTCTACTTGTCAAAGCCTGTTGAGCATCTTATTTCCTGCATAGAGTTTGGCGAGAATATATCATTCAAAACTACCCCATAATGAGGGAGAGAAAAAGAGACAGAGACGGGTGAAAGATAGCCGATGATGCATGGACAGAAAGATAGATAGATAGATAGATAGATAGACAGACAGACAGATAGATTGACACTGTTGGTCATATTTGGTGGAATAAAATTACCCCATTTCCCCCCATACTTCAGCATGGTGTTCAGATCTTTTACCCCAATTTATGGAATGATTTTGACAATGATTTATTCCTAATACAGAGTGAGTCAAAAAAAAGTTTACACCTAGAAAATTGCTAATTATTCAAAAAATCATAGATGAACATTAAACTGTTATATATTTTATGAAAGAGTGTTTTATCCCAAATCATTTGGTACCATTTTTGTGTGGTATGTGTTCACACTTGGATGAACATGAGACATTGTTTGCGAGAGTGCAAAAATCGAATTGCGCCAAAGTTGCCTATGTGATGTTTGAATAAAACAATTGGGATTTGGGTTTTAATTCGGTCTTTGCACATCCAAATAACACCCCTAACAAAACTAATCATGTCACACATATCAAATATCGAATATCAAATATCAACGAACATTTGTGGGCGTGTGTGTGGGTGTGTGTGACTTTGCCCTTTGCAAAAAAACGTATGCAATGCATTTCATTTGATACATTCAATCCATTCTCTCACTCCGCTAATCCCAACATAATTCATACTGAAGGCATCACTTTGGCGCAAGTTGATTTTTGCACTCTCGCAAACAATGCCACCTGTTCATCCAAGCGTGTACACATACCACACAAAAATGGTACCAAATGAGTTGGGATAAAACACTCTTTCATAAAATGTATAATAATTTACTGTTCATAGAAGATTTTTAAAATAATTAGCCATTTTCTTGGTGTAAACTTTTTTTGACTCACACGGTAGATCTAGATAATAGTATACATTCTCAGATTTTATTGAATAATAATGTGTTAGTGCTTGTTTTGCGTGACTGCTAAAGATTGTGTGTGCTACTATGCTAATTAACTAGGGGACCTACGTCCTTAGGTCATAACTGGCAGTAATGAGGATTAATGCCTAATAAAAGGGCACTAATATAGCACATCGACACGGTTTTGATCCTGGGGGCTCACAGGAATGAGGCCATTGCTTAGCCACTGAATCATGACTGTGCGCAGCGGGGGCTAGGTATAGCATAGTAGCACACACATGCTTTAGCAGTCACGCAAAACAAACACTCACAAATAATTATTATTCAATAAAATCTGAGAATGTATACTATTATCTAGATCTATTAGGAATAGATCATCGTCAAAATCATTCCATAAATTGAGGGAAAATAATTATTCCACCACTATGACCAACAGTGTAGATAGATAATTAAATTAATAAATAATGATAGATTAATACATATGAATCTATATACAATTACATAATTTAATGGATAAATATATAAATAACTAGATGAGTTGAATTGAATTGAATTAACCAAATAAATATATGGAGAAGAAGGTAGATATTATGGTGATAGGGAGAGAGAGGGGGTAGAGAGAG